CTCTAAAGCTACAGAGAAATCTTGTCTCAAAAAACAAAACAAAAAAATTACAAATGGGATGGCGGCGGCGGCTGGGAGCGGGACGCCCAGAGAGGAGGAGGCTCCCGGAGGGGAGGCCGCGGCTACGCAGGCCCAAGCCCCGACGACTGCGCCCGGGGCTCGGCTCTCCAGGCTGCCTCTGGCCAGAGTGAAGGCTCTGGTGAAGGCGGACCCTGACGTAACGCTCGCGGGACAGGAAGCCATCTTTATCCTGGCGCGTGCCGCGGTGCGGCGGGAAAGCAAGGGCGCCGGGGTCGGGGGGCGTGACTACGGGGGCGTGGCGAGGGGCGTGGCCTGGCGGGCCCAGGTGTGCCGACCTGACTTGTCAAGTTGCCTGGGAAGGCTGCTGCAGGGCCCTTTGAGTTTGTCGGCCACTTGTGTTTTAACTAGGGCCCACTCAACTTTAGTGCGCGTCTCCGGTGGCTCACGTCGAACCCGAGTGGGTCCACAGTGATTGAGTGGGGTGCATTCATAAGTATCAGCGGGAGGAGAATGAACCGGCTAGCCTATTAGGGAAAGGAATAGCAGAAGTATCTTCATGAAGTTAAGGGCAACCTTAGCTTCTAGAACTTTCCTGTATGATAGAAGCACTCTCACCCTTGTGCTCCGCTTATACACAAGATCACCCTCCCCCAGAATCAACTAATCTTTCCTTTGCTTGTTTGCTTCGCAGGAACTGTTCGTGGAGACCATCGCAAAGGATGCCTACTGCTGTGCTCAACAAGGAAAGAGGAAAACCCTCCAGAGGAGAGATTTGGGTAAAGCCCCTGGGGTTCCTCAGGGTGGACATGGGAACCATGGGCTAGGTTGGCTTTTTTCTTGATTCGTTCGTTTTGGTTTTTCGAGACAGGGTGACTCCGTGTAATAACGCCTAGCTAGAACTTTGCTCTGTAGACCAGGCTGGTCTATAACTCACAGAGATCCACCTGCCTCTGCCTCTGAGTGCTGGGATTAAAGGCGTGCGCCACCACTGCCTGCTGGTTAGACTTTCTTACACCTGCTTCACAAGGCATCACAGGCCTGGGGAAGTTTGATTTTTGATTTATTCATCTAGCTGGAAACCCTTGCACATGCATCAGCTGTTACAGCTTTTACAGACTGTATCTCTCGCTTCTTTCTATCTTGCCAAACTCTTTTTTTTTCTTTTTTTAGAAAGAGAGTAACTTTGGAGAAAAAAGTGGATTTAGGTATTAAACAGGACTGTAGGAGGTCTTACTAGACAGCGTTTGCGTGGGCTTTTATAGAGAGACATTAATATGTGAGAATTAATAGTGTAAAAATGGATCTCACAATATCAAGGGATATATCTTAAAAGTGATGTCATTTGCATAAAACCCAATATCTTTATGCAAATAAAGATTGTGGACTGTGCAGTTTTGGGTCTGAGGTCCAAATGCCAAGAGCTAATCAATATCCGCTTTTCTTGTGTTTCAGATAATGCAATAGAAGCTGTGGATGAGTTTGCTTTTCTAGAAGGTGAGTTCACTGTCTGCACAAATCATTTCCCTGCAGGTGATGTGAGTTCAAACCTTACAGGAACAGATGCCTGCTTCTCCTTTGTACATGGAAACAGTTCTCCCTGCTTCCTGTTTTTAGGGGAAAAAAAACATTTTCCATTCTTGGGAATTAGAGTTTCTACTGGGAAATTGCTAGCGTAAAAGGAGAAGGGAGGAGTATAAAAACACTGGCGGAGTTAGCAGAATTTAGAGTTTGAATCCTACATAAATCTCCATCCCTAAATATCAGTCTTGTCCCTTGCCATACTGTTAGGAATTAGAAACAACTTGTAGATTTTTTTTAAAGATTAATTTTTATTTATGTGTCTGTGCTTTTGTTTGCGTATATGATATGCCACATGTGTGCAGGTACCCACAGGGTCAGAAGCCTGCATCCAATCCCCTGGAGCTGGAGTTACAGGTCATTGCGAGCTGCTAAACGGTGCTGGGACTGAACTCCAGTCCTCTGGAGGAGCAGCAAGCACTCCAATCACCTAGTGATCTCTCCACCCCCAGTTCCTAACTTTTAAAGACAGGGGCTTCTGTAGCTCAGCACCTTGAACTCAGCTTCAAGTAACCTTGAATTCCTTTTCTTCATCACCTCCCATGTGCTAGTAAATAATAATAATAATATTAACAACAACAACAACAATATAATGATCTAATGATATTTGCTTACTTTTCACTCTGTTCTGCCTCTCTGTGTCAGCCTATGTCCTGACACTCTATATGTTTTCATATATGTTTTTCACATGTCTTCTAAGATCCCTTCCCAGTGTCTGCTTCAAGTCTAGATTTTTTGAGAATTCTCTTTAAGTTGTAGATCTTTGTTGTTCCACTGGTTTGTCTTAAAAATAACTTCTGTTAATGGTCATACTCAGTGTATGGTCATCCTTGGCAGTGTTCTGTATACGCTTGAAGAGAGTATTCTAGTTGCTAGGTGCAAGGCCAAGGGGTACTGTGCAGGTATTCTGTTTTGTTTACTCGTTTTATTGGTTACCAAGTAAGAATTGCCTGTTAAATTCTTCAGTCACAGATGCAGGTTATTTTCACTTAAAATTCTGTTTCTGTTTTTTATGTAAGATCATGTGGTTAAGTTTATAAAAGTTCAATATTGTTTGTGACAATATTTAATTTATAAATTGACTGTTGTTGTTTCTAGTACTGATTTTGAGACTCCTGCTTAAAGGGTGTTGTCATTCCACCTTCCATTTGGACAGACTCTGAGGTTTGACTATTGATTCCCTCAGCCTGCCAAACAGCCACTTTAGCCCTCTCTCAGATTGGCAGATGCCTTCAGGGCCACCACAGCTTTGGAGGCCAACCTAACTTTGTGACTTGGCCCTCTCTAAGTTGTGGATTTGCGTGATGATTCGTTTTCAACTATTAAAAAATTTTACTTTTATAAAAAGTTTAGCTTTGTTCCTTGTTCTCAGCAGAGATTTGCCAAAGTTGCAAGGCATGGTGGCTCATGCTTGTAAATCCCAGACCTTAGGACACTGAGGCAGGAGGACTTTAAGTTTGAGGCCAGCCTGTGCTTCAAAAGGAACCCCAGACCATCCTGATCAGTGACTTGCTGCCTCAGACAACAACACAAAATCCCAAAGGAAGTTATGAAATTTTTAGTTAGAAGTGTCTCTGCTTTGATCTTTCTAATGTTTATTTCCCTGAATTATGCTTTATTATATAATTAATAACTTTGGCCTCTCCTTGTACTGTGTAGGCTCCTTCAGTGCTTTTCCTGTGCCAACATGGGAGGATAATAAGGCTTCTTGGGAAGCTGTGTGTCTGGAAAGTGGTGTGGTTATTGCTCTACAGCCTTACTTCAGGGTGAACAGAAGAGGCAGTGGATGTCCTGCTGAGGCCCTACAAGCCAGAGTGCAGAGTGCTCCCTGGCATGTTTCCCCACATAGGCAGGTCACTTGACTATTTTGATGAAACTCCTGTTAATTTTTTTTCTTCTTCTTTTCCATATATGTTTAACTCCCTAGCTTCTGCATACAGGGAAGACTGTAAGAGGCGTGTGGGGAGGCAAGCCTGTGTCATGTGGGTCATAGCTCCTTTCCTCTCACTTCTGTGTCAGTCCTGGTAACTGGGTCTAACGCAGTGGTTCTCAGCCGTCCTAATGCTGCAGCCCTTTAAGACAGTTCCTCAGCTGTGCTGACCCCAAACATAAAATTATTTTTGTTGTGACTTCATAACTGTAACTTTGTACTGTAATAAATTGTAATTAAATATATTTGGAGATAAGAGATTTGCCAAGGGGGTTGTGACCCATAAATTGAGAACCACTGGTCTGGGGCCTTCTGTTTCTGGGGTGGGAGCTAGTGCTTCTCTCTTGCATCCCCTTCTCTATTAGGCTCAAGTCTTTTTTGCTCTATTTATAAATACGCTTCAGTGAGATGTTGATCATTCTTTTTCTGTTGTTGAATTTGTCCAGCTGCTATTGCATCTTGGTTCTCTGTTGTGGATTTATGTCTTTTTAAAAGCTTTTTCTCTTTTGAATAGAATCTTGGAGGGTATGCAGACCTGTGTGCTCAGGTGCCCAGTGTAAAGATTAGAGGGACTGGAGAGATGGCTCAGCAGTTAAGACTACTTTAGCAGAGGATCCCAGTTCGGTTTCAGTACCCACAATGTGTCTCACAGCTCCTGTAACTCCAGCTGCAGGGCATCTTGATGCCTTCTTCTGGTCTGTATGGGCATTGTATATACATGCTCACATACAAAAATACATGTAATTAAAAGGGAATCTTTTCAAATTATAAATGTTTTGCTTAGAGAATCTTTATCAGTTTTTAATGTTCACTGAGTAATGCATCAATTATTTAGCTCTTTTCCAGCTCCAAGTCCAGTTCTGTGCATTGGTAGCTTAGTCCCAAATGGCTTCCTTCTCTAATGACATCTCCCCGTGGGTCTTTTGGACCGGTGTTCTTCATTCCTCAGATTGGAACTGCCGTTACCAGGAATGCCTGTGTGCTTTAACTTTCCCCAGTGTGTGACCCCCCAGACTGAGACACTGTGCTTCACACATTGCCCTTTCTGCTTTAGGTACCTTGGATTGATTACGGAGCTGGATGACCTGGTGAGCCTTTGCTGCGTCCTTCATCTTTCCCCGTGCAAGCCTCAGCTTTGGAGAGAGTCTGCGCGTGCACACAATCTTCTTCTACTTTCCCCAAGCTGCAGAGATCTCCACAAAGTCTTCCCTTCCTCAGTCTGTCTTCCACAGCCTGGATGTAGCTGATGCTGCTTGGGGCAGCCATGAGAGGACTGTTCCGCATAAGTGTGGCTCAGTGAGTGAGGAGACCAGAATAAAGGTCTTTGGTCAGCTTCATTCCTGTGTTTTATGGTCCTGCCTTTGCTCTTGCCCTGTGACCGGAGAACCCTGTGGTCAGGCACAGACTTTTCCTCATCTACCAACCATCCTGAGTCAACGTTTTTATTAACTTTGTTCTTTCTCAGCATATCATTGGAATGTGGGTCTATAATTTATGGGATACTGTACTCTTAGGAGTACAAATCAGTAATTCATGTGTCATAAACAATTTCGACTGTAAAGTTCAGTGTTTTTTTAATATTCATAGGTATATATAGTGACATTTTGAACATCTTGTGAACAGATTCACATGAGTCTTTTGTTTGACAAGATTTAGATTATGTTATTTAAATTTTATCTATGCTATCGTATGTATTTGTACCGTTTCCTTTAAGTTGTGAGATATACATAATATAAAGCTTCCCATTTGAGCTGCTTTCCAGTGTGTTGCTCGGTGGCATTGACTATATCAGAGTGTCAACCGTCGTCCTCCTTCGCCTCCGGAGCTTTGTAGTAACGTTCTCAGCCTGGAACATCAGGTACATGGAACAGGGACTCCCTTTCCCTTTCCCTTCCTGTGCCTGTGTGAGGTGTGGGTGGTGTGTATGGAGTACTTAGAATGTTCAGGAAGGCAACAGAAAGCCTTGGCTGGTGCTTCTTATAGTATTCTACAGTGTAGATATCTTTTAATACCAAGTTTGCAGGCTGTTTTCTCCAGAATAATAAACTCAGTTTTGTAACATGTTAAAAATAAACTTTCAGAAAAATACTAGGTTTATAGAAAAGTGTGTTTGGGTCCTGCTTACAGAGTCCCCATGGTGGACATTTCAGTGTTACCAGGAACTGACATTAATGGGTTACTGTTTGTTCAGTTCAGGTTTTTATTTGAATTTTTGCTACTTTTCCATTAGTATCCTTTGTTTGGAGAGCTAATCCAGAGTATTAAATTATTCTTGCTTCTTTTGTCTCCCCAGTCTTTCAAGTCTTAGTTTTGTTTTTAATATGTGTGTGGTTGCACACGCAGAGGTCTGCTGTTGTGTGGGTCCCAGGGATCAGATTCGGGTCATCAGGCCCAAATGGTTGGGCAGTGAGTGTCTGCTTTACCTGCTGTTCCATCTTGCCAGCTCTGTTTCCTTGTCTGTCTGTCTGTCTGTCTGTCTCTTTGTTTACCTGTGAGTGTGTGTGCCTGTGCCTATGGGAGCAGGAACAGATTGTAAGTACCAGTATTTACTTACCTGGACAACGTCACCCGATACGGTTGTGAGGAATTAAATCAGCCTGGTTGGAGGGGCCGCAGCACAACTGAGGCAGTGACAATTTTATTGAGAGCAATCAGACTTTGTATACTTTTATCAGAAACAGAACATAATGGCAATGCCAGGGTCAGTACAGTTGTATTGTCAGAATACAATGAAATTTGCAAGCTATACAGGGTATACAAGATTAATGTCTAAGACCAATTGTCCTGTCAAGTTTCCATGCTTCCTTGGCTTCTGAGGGAACATACAGGGAAACACAGAGTGGCCTGAACGCTCTACTGCCTGAGGGAGTGTACCAGTCTCTCAGGAACTGGAAGGCACACAGTGCTCAGGAGCCACAGACGCTAACCTGAAAACCTCTGACGACTGCCTCAAGGCAGTTAGACCAGGCCAGCTCCATGGTGCCCTGCAACAGGTGCTTCTTGTTGTTGGGCCATCTTGCTGGCCCTTTTTTATTCCATTAACAGCCTTGACTAGTGCTGGCCAAGAACCCTGTAGCCTCTTCCCCAGCCCGGTTTGTATTTTTTTTTTCTGTGACTAGTTAAACCTGTAACTGCATATAATTTTGAATGTTACACAAACCCACCAATAGGCCTGTTATTACAAATATTTGAAAGGGCACACTTTTGTTCAAGAGGAAATTAAAATGACAGGTTTTGGCCAATAGTGGGAGAGACTAATAAGTGTATGTTATCAGCATTTCTTTCTATAGCAAGGTTAATGTGGGTATTTATTTTCATTTGTGTGTGTGCATGTGTTGTGGTGTGTGCATGTATGTTCACATATGTGTGTAAGTCAGAGTTTGGCTGTCTTCCTTAATCGTTCCACTTTATGTATTGAGGCAGGGTCTCTAAGTTAAATTCCGAGCTTGCAACTTGCTAGTTTGATTAATCTAGCCAACTAGCTCTGGTCCCAGCAGCTCCGACCTGCCTCTGTGTTGGGCTTATTGGTGGGTTGCCATGCACACCCAGCGTTTATGTGGGTGCTGGGGGTCTGAACTCTGCTTCTCCTGTTGGATGCAGCAAATAGTTCTACCTGCTGAGCCATCTGCTTTGTCCACATTCTTGAAAAATAAAAATTCCGTATTGATGGCAAACTCTCTAAAAATATAAACAGAAAGGGTATTAGATACTGTCACTAGAACGGTATGAGTTAATACATTTGAAATTTCCGGGCACAGTGATGCACGCCTTTGATCCCAGCACTCAGGAGGCAGAGGCAGGCAGATCTCCGAGTTCAAGGCCAGCCTGCTCTGCAGAATGAGTTCCAGGACAGTTCAGGCTACACAGAGAAACTCTGTCTCGAAATAAATGAATGAATGAACAAATAAATAAATAAATCGATAAATAAACAAGATTAGGTAGATAGAACCATCCCATATGGGACTAGAGAGTTGGTTCGTGGTTAAGAACACTTGCGCTTACAGAGCACACGGATTGGTTCCCACTTCCACATAATGACTTAAAGCCATCCCTAACTTTAGTTCCAGGGGATCTGACATGCTCTTCTGACCTCTGTAGGCACCCGACTGGTGTGCTTACACACCTGCAGGCAAAACACTCTTACATATAAAATAGGTTACAAAAGCAATGTCCATTATTTTAGAAAGTAGTATCGAGCCAGGCATGGTGGCGCACACCTTTACTCCCAGCATTCGTGAGGCAGAGGCAGGCAGATCTCCAAGTGTGAGGTCAGCCTGGTCTACATAGTGAGACCCTGTCTCAAAAAAATAAAAAAGTTAGTATTGAATTCAATTAGGACATTTTAATTTTTGTTTCCTTTCTTCTTTTGAGTGCAGGTCATGTAAAATGCATGTAAAATCTACATGTAAAGTGCATGTAGACTAACAAGTGTCTTATTTCCTGATCTTTAGACCTCTTTCCCCTGGTGACATGCCTGTGATGTCATATTACAGGCAAAAACAAAACAAGCAAAAAATAAAACAAAAAGTGTAGATATAATTTATGTTGACTAGTCAATTGACTTTAAAGTTGATTATCCTGGGGTGCCTCAGGAGGCCCCAATAAATTACACGTTCCCTGAAAAGCAGCTGTGCTTTCTCTTGGCCAAGGGTAAAAGGGATGTCAAAGTCAAGCAGGAGAGAAAAGGCCTTTTTCTTAACTGTTGCAGGTTTTGCGGATACGGGGGACAATGAGTCAAGAACTGTGGGCAGTGTCCTGAGACTAAGATCACTGGTGCCCTGCATAGATAGACTCTCACTCAGTCGCTCACAGATCTGCCATGATGACAAGTCACGAGTTCTCCAGGAAATGATCCTGGTCACTGTGGCCCCAGCCTCTAGCTTTGGTGGTGGCTTTCTCTCCTGATCTCAATCTAGTGAGCTTGCTACAGCCCCTTGACCCACCCCAGCCTTCATGTTCTGGGTAGTGCTTTGTTGCTGGGAACTGTTGTCCCTGCTGCATGTGGCTTCCAAGTTCTATTACTGGCAGAAAAGTAAGTGGGCTCTTGAAATATAAAAGAAACATCCAGTCACTGTCATGGCTAGCAGCATGTCACTGGGGTTTTAATTTGCATTTATCAAATGCATTATGCAAATACTTAGTCCCAGTCCCACCACATATATATTTTAATGTCTGCGGAGTAATTCTTACTTGTGTTCCGCTCTGTTGGCGAGTTGACTTAAATGAGGCTCTTGGACTACCAGGACTCCCTGAGTTTTTGCTTATCTTTTTAAGACTGGAGCAGCAGGACTTCCCTTGTCAGGATCTCCTGTGTTCTCAGTGTCAGTCATGGACTAATGGACCAGAAGGGGTTGGGCATTTCCAGTGTGTCTGTCTGTCTGGGCATGCTATTCTGGGAGCTAGATGGAGGAAAACGTGAGTCACTAAAACCTGATGCTAACATTATAAAGCCTAATTATTACCTGTCAGCATATGCATGTTAGTGCACATAAGCATGTTTGTCTGAAGAGGTCAGAGGTGTCAATTGGATCCCCATGGAGCTGGAGTTATAGGCAGTTGTGAGCTGCCTGACATGGTTCTGGGAATCAAACTCTTGTCTTCTGTGAGAGAAGTTTGCTCTTTTAACCACAGAGCTATCTCTCCAACCTCAACATAGCTTTTTGAGACAAGGTCTCAAGTGTTCCAGGATGGCCTTGAAATTGCTGTGTAGAGGACGGTGACCCTGAAGTTCTAATCCTGCCTTCTCAAGTGCTGGGATCACGGGCTACTCCATGTTCATGCTGTGCTGGGATTAGACCCAGTGCCTTGTGCATCCTTAGCCCTGAGGTCTAGTGTATAAAGAGCATCTCATAACAAAGGTTAGAAAAATTTGCAGTCTTGTTTTTCGTTTGTATCTGATGCTTCCACTTCATGCTAAGTAGCTCAGAGCAGCTCGAATGTAAGGCTTTTTCCTTTTTATGTTTTCTAATTATTGGTTTAGAATGTTCTCTGTCTCATCTTGGCTTTTATATTTCTTCCCTCCTTTCTCATAGAAACTTGTTTTTCTCGAGGAGGTCTTTTTGTTCCATTCTTTTAATTTTGTCAGCTGCAGTATGTTTGTTTCGTATTTGAAAGGATGTTAGCAGAATTCTACGTTCTCAAAGAGGCAATATTTCTCTTGGTCAATTCTTGTTTGCTTTCTATTGCTGTGATAAAACCCTGACCACAAGCAACTTGGAGGAAGAAAGGGTTTATTTCATCTTATGTTTCCAGGTCCCAGTCCATCATAGTCAAGGAAGGGACCTGAAACCCTGTAGCAAATGCTTGCAGGCTTGCTTCAGGCTCATGCTTAGCTAGGTCCCAACCTGCCGCAGTGGGCTGAGCCCCCCATCAGTTAATTATCAAAGTCCTCTCCCACAGATGTGCCCGTATACCAAGCTGATCCTGGCATTTTCTCAACTTGAGGCTTTCTTCTGATGAGCCTAGAGTGTGTCACGTTACAGTCAGGTTAACCAGGACAAGATCCGTTAGCATACATGTGACTCCAGGACAAGATCCGTTAGCACACATGTGACTCTTCATGTTGTAAAGACGGACACAGTTACAAAGCAAGTTTAGCCCGTCTTAGTCATTTAAAAAATTTGTTATTTTTAAAGTTTAAAAAATTTTATTTTTGATGGTTTCATTTAAGTATACAATATACACGCTCATACCCATTATCCTCTCCTTCCACCGCCGCGGCTCCCCCTTTCCCAAGTAATCCCCCACCCA